TTATTTATTTATTTATACAAGCACTGGGTACAGTCAGAAGCGTGGGAGGGTGAGAGAATTCACCAGAGCCAGAGTGGGGAACTGAACAGGCAGACTGATGAAATACACTGCTGAGGGGAGCAGCAGGCGCGGCAGGAGAGGTCTGCACGCCATAGTGGGACCCTCGCTGGTGGCCGGTGATTGAATCTGTGCTGCAGAGGCTGCAGGCAGCTTCACATCCCAGCGCTCAACCACTGCACCACCAGGGGAGGCCCCCCTTTTTTGATTCTTATGAGTAATGCTGCTATGGACATTCATGTGTAAGTTTTTTGTGGATATATATTTTCATATCTCTTGAATATGTATATGAGTGAAATTGCTGGCCCATTTGGTAGCTCTATATTTGACCTTTTGATTAACTGCTGGACTCTTTTTCAAAGTGCTATCCATAATAGCTGCATCATTTTATACTACCATCAGCAGCATGTGAAGGTTCCAATTTCTCTACATCCTTGCCAAAACTTGTTATTATCTGTCTTTTTGATTATAACCATCTTAATGGGAATGAAGTGGTATCTCATTGCAGTTTTGATTTGCACTTCCTAAGTGATGTTGAATAACTTTTATGTATTTTTCTGGCTACTTTTATATTTTCTTTGGAGAAATGCCTGCTTAAATTCATTGCCCATTTTTTAATTGAGCAATTTTTCTTTTTATTATTAAATTACATGAGTTATTTATATATTCTGGATAAAAATATCTTATCAGATATATGGTTTGCAAATATTTTCTCCCATTCTTTTGACTGCATTTTTCACTTTCGCGATACAGTTTTTTGTAGCAAAATTTAAGAAATTTTGATTATATGCAATTTATTTTTTTCTTTTTGGTTTTGTAATGAGATCCTCACCTGACCCAGGAAGATTTGTGTTTATGTTTTCTTCAAAGAGTTCAATACTTCTAGACCCTAGATTTAAACTTTTGATTTACTTTCAATTCATTTTTGTACATGGTATGAGTTAGAGGTCTAATTTATTCTTTTGCATATATTTACCTATTTGTTCTAGCCCCATTAAAAAAAGGCTGTTCTTTACCTTTTGAATGGTCTTGACACTGTTGTTGAAAGTCAACAGACCAAAATATGTGGTTTATTTCTGGACTCTAATATTTACTCTATTGTTCTAAAGTCTGTTGATCTCTCTCTATGCCAATACCACACTGTCTTATTTGCTATGACTTTATAATAGGTCCGGAAATTAGGAAGGATTAGTCCTCCTACTTTGTTTTTCTATATCGAGATTGTTTTGGCTATCCTGAGTCTCTTGAATTTCCATATGAATTTTAGTATCAGTTTGTCAATTTCTATAGACAACTGGAATTTTGAGAAACCAAATTTTAAAAATTCAATTAAAATTTGTTATTTTCTTATTAAAAATATAAAAACTCTAAAAGCCAGAGGAAACATTTAGAAGTGTCCTGTGGTTTTTATAGCACTACACCCCTCCCATGCATCCCTTAATGAACTTTGATAACGAGGACACAGGTTGAGCAGAAGCACTTTCTTCTAATTAGATGTACTTCCTGGAAAAGTTACTGGGTTTCTTTAAATTTATTTATTAATCTATCAAGAAGTGAGATAAATTGGACCACATTTAACTAAGAACGAGACACTATTAGAAGAGTGGAAAAGCAAGTCACAGAGTGAGAGAAAAATATGTAATATATCTATCTGACAAGGGATTATTAAAAATTAATTAACTTATTTTCTTATAGCGTTGTTAATTTTTGTACAGTATTTGATTTCTCTCCTCGGGTGTAGTCCCTGAAGTTCTCCCACCACCACAGCACCCATGATCCATCACCACAGTCCCATGTGCTCTTCTTTCCTCCCCTGTTTTGACCCTCACCTTCCTGTCCCCTGCTCTATGCCTCAGATCTATGGTCAACTTGCAAATTTTGTCTTTTTTCTGACCCTTTTGACAAAGGATTTGTGTTCAGAATAATAAAGAAGTTCTAATAAATCCATAAGAAAAAGGCAGACTACTCAATAAAAAAGCAGACAAAGGGTTTTAACAGGCATGTTGCAGAGACAAATTAAACAGTGCCTACCAGTAAGCTGAACAATGTCGCCCCAAAGATGTATTCACTTCCTAATCTGTAGAAGCTCTGAATATCATGGAAAAAGGTATCTGCATAAGCAATTATATGTATACTCATAAGAAGGGGACAGAGGAAGCTTTGACACAGACACACACAGAAAAGATACACAGGCAGAGGCAGAGGTTGGAGTGATGCAGCTACAAACCAAGGAATGCAAAGAGTCACCAGAAAATGGATTTTCCCTAGAGCCTGCAAGTGAGTGTGGTCCTGCTAACAGCTTGATTTCAGACTTGTGGCCTCCAGAACTTGGAGAGAATACATTTATGATGTTTTAAGTCACCAAATATGTGGTAATATATCACAACAGCCTTAGCAGGCTAATAAACTATTAATTGTCAGTGACAAGCAAATTAAAAGCACAATGTAATATGTCTATCTAAACCCTGAAAGTTAAAATGAAAACATAATTTCAAGTCTTGGTGAGGATATGGAACTACTTGAACACCCAGATGTTGCTAGTGACTTATACATTAGAACTACTTAGCTAATCAGAACTCCCTGGTGGCACAGGGGGTTAAGATGCAACCTATGAAGCTATTTGCAGCCACTGCAGCATGAGTTTGATGCCTGGCCAGGGAGCTACCACATGGTGCAGCAGTGTCTTGCCTGCTGCTCCCCTCAGCAGTGCTTTTCAGTTGATCTGCCTGTTCTGTTCCCCACTCTGTCTCTGGTGAATCCTCTCACCCTTTCCCCCCACATCTCTGGCCTGTACCCCAGTTCTTGTATGCATAAATAAATAAATCTTTAAAAAACCAGGAACTACTTAGTTAAACTATTTAGGAGTAACTTGTAAAGCCGAATAGATACTTATCCTATAATTCAGCCATTCCACTTATAGATGATACACCCAAGAGAAATACATACTTTTACCCCAAATCATGAACAAAAATGCTTATATTATAACTCCAATTTAGAAACAACTCAGATGTCTATCATCAGTAGGCTGGATAAGGACATAGTGATGATTTCATACTATGGAATACTATACAATAATGATAATGAATAACTAGTTTTACCATGCAATATAGATTAAAATGACAATCATTATGGTCATGAAAGAAGCTGACATAAAAAATTATATACTGCATGATTCTCTTTACATACAATTTCAGAAACAGCATCATGAAATCACCCATACCATTAGCAGAATGTATTCAATATGCTAGAAGTCAAGTTAGTAGCTACAATTTAAAAGGGGAGTGACTGGGAGTGCGCCTAAGGGAGCATAAGAGTTTTAAGATTTTATTAAAAGCTTATTTTAATAGTAAGAAATAAAAGGAGATGAAGTTAATAAAATCTCTCCTAATTCATAGCACATGCCATCCATTTATTGATTAATTTAGCAAATATTTGTACTTATTGAGCTATTATTTTCCAGAAACTGTTCTAATGCCAGGGCCATAGCACTAAGCAATACAGAGTTTCTGCCCTCACAGAGTTGGCATTCTAATAGTTTCCTCTTTAAATGCTAGAGTATACTGCTATATGGCTGGATCCTGATGATTCATGCCTCATGACCTTCACATCGCTGGATAGTCCTGGATGGGCAGTCCTGGCTTGCTCTGCATTTGGCCAGGTGACCTGCTTTAGTCAACGAGACATTAGCAGGACACAGATAGAAGCTTTGAAAGTGCTTGCACATTGGAGCTTTATCTTGTGGAATGCTCCTTCCTGAAAGCCAGTGCTATAAAGAAGGTTGAACTCCAGGGCTGAATGCTGAAAGGCTACACGCTTGGAGATGCTTGGAGAATGACAGTCTATCTTGGATATATTAGCCTCAACCAAGCTCCCAACTCCATGAAACCACACATTGAAATCAGCTACATCATGTCAGGCAGCAAAACCACCCACTGAGCCCAGTCAACCATGGACTTCTGAGAAACAATAAATCATCGTTTAAAAAAAAAAAAAACCTACTATTTTGGGGTAGTTTGTTACACAGCATTTAATAACTGAAACAGATAATCAATGAGATTAAGTAAATAAGGTGCACAATTTCAGAGCATGATTTAGGCTATAAAGGATTAAACAGGGTAATGGGATAAAGGATGGCTGAGAGAAAATTTAGTCTGGGGGAGCACATTGTGAATACTTAAGTCACATGTACTTGTAAGGTATTCCTAAAGTATTCTCTACAGAAACGGAGGAATTACTTCTTCTTGGTGAGTGTGTCAGGTACAGTGGGAATTGACAATAGAGGAAAACACTGGATTTTAAAAGAGCTGAGTTGAAATTAAGATTGTTCTTGACCCTGGGCAAATAACTGGTCCTTTGTGAACCTCACTTTCTTCATCTCTAATGGGGGAATAATAACACTCACCTTACCTACCCTCCAGGATTGCTGGGAAGGTTATCCTTGATAATGTTTGCAAAGGTACCTAATGCTTTAAAATGTTGTTTAAAGGAAAAGCATTCCTAAGAAAGGGCATTTGGTTACCCATTTGCTTTCTGAAGCTTCTGCTGTCTCTAAGATGATACAAAGTCAGTGAAATAAGCTTTATCATTGTAACAATAGTCTATGCATGCTACTGGCATGGTCTATGTTACACATTAGCCTTTTTAAAATTTAGTTAGCATCCATTGGGACTATGGTTCTGCAGTTTTGAATAATCCACGAAGTTGTCACTGAAAGCTGATATTCTCTATGTTGATAATGAAGAAAAACACCAATGAACAGCCTTATTAGTGTAAAAAGTCACACACTCCAAAGCCTCTATTCCATTAGGAAAAAACTGAACATATGTCATGTCACATTAATAAATACTGCATGGGCAAAGTGTACCTTATATTAACAGTAAATTCCCCCATGGAACATTGATTTGCTTTTAAATTTTAATCTAGTTCTTTTTTCTTCTATAGATCCTGGTGCAGTCCCCCGCCCCCTTTCTTCAGCAAAGAATGTAAGTTTGTATGAGAAATGCATCGTTCTTTTTAAACCAAAGAGCAGAAAAGAGAAACAAAATGCTGGGGGAAGGAAGGGGGGAAATAAAGGGAAAAATAACAAATTGGTCATTAAAAGGAAAAAGATGCACGAGATAAAGGAGAGGGATGCAAGACGAGCATCTACTATATTGGGCTTCAGTGCAGATGTAAGTATAAAATGCTCCACAAGTCCTGTAATTGAGAAAATCTATCAAATGTCCTGACAGCTGCTCGGGCATTTCCAGAAGCGATAAAACTTGAATTTATTTCACTCCTAGAAAAGGGGCAGTATCACCTTCTGGCGGCTTTAATGAAATGCTATAAAATTCGAGGAAAAACTGTGTTGTAAAGTCATAAAAAGGTAGTCGGAAGTGGATTGTTGGAAACGCTGCGGGTGGGGCTGCCGTGTCTGCAGAGTGACCAGGGGGATCCGAGGCCCCCGGCATGGTCATGAGCCGGACGACAGTTTTCACGTGGGGGCCTGACCCCGGCTGCTCGTGGCCCCAGGGCAATGGGAATGTGATAAAATGAGCAGTGCAGCGTGGACCGAACTCCCGCCAGCGGCCACTCCCAGACCTGGGCTAATGGCTTACCGCTCTGTGCACCCAGGAGCCCAAGCCTCTTTGGAGGCTCACGTGCTCCTTTGGGATTTTGTAGAGGTCACGACATGAATACTCTCGGGGGTGGAATGGATGGTCTCCAACCTTAAGACACTTGTCCTAGCTGCGAACTTGGATGGGAGGTTCCAACAGTTACTTGTTCTTGGGCAAGATTTAGAGCAAACTCAACCCCACCCCCATGTTCTGCTTTAGAATCTGATTGTTCAGGACTTGGCACACACTTGCCTCCTCCCAATTTCCTCAGACTTTGGTTCTACAACTTGATATTTTATTTTCCCCCAAATGATGAGCAACTGGGAGAATAAACATTGGAAGCTCCTTTTTTTTTTTTTTTTAACCCGTTTGGTGCCACGCCTTACACTTTGCACACAGTAGGAGCTTATTGGATTTTTTCCAAGGGGATACAATTTCTCAGGGGCCTCAGGTTGCCAGGTAACATCTTGTACTATCCAACCACTTCTATGGTTGAGTAACTACCCTCCTATTATCTGTACCAGCCTGGGCTAGATTCATTTGTTTAAGATTATTGTACAGGGAGCAGTTACATAGTATTTCATGTTCTCAATGGTTGGTGTTTTAATAAAGTCACATTTTATTCACATAAAGAATTCTATTTCAAAGATAAAGAAACAGTCTCTGAATATTTCTTCAGTCAGTCAAGCTTTGGGCAAAGATTATGAAGTTAAATTGTAAACACTGAGAATACGGGGTCCAAAATGAGGCATTTAGAATGTGAAGATCAAGCAGGCCTCAGAGATGATGTTCTTCCAAAGAGGGGTGGTGAGGAGAAGGGCTTCTTCTGGGGCAGCTCCAAGCAACATTCTGGTGGAGGCCTCTAGAGAGTGCCCTAATCAAAAAACAAAACAGCGAATGTACTACATAAATAAAATTTTAAAAAGGATGATTTCGGGACAGTTCAAGGAAGTAGGAAGGTTCATAAAGTCAAAGGAGATAAAAATCTGAGTGTGGGAATGAGACCTTTTTCTCTTGGTTGAACCAAAGTCCTTGAACCTTGGCATAAAGGGGAAATTTCCACAGCCTAGTTTTGGCCCGCGCCATAGGTGGAAGTAACAGCAGCAGGAATGTCAACCTTTGGAAAATCTTGTGCACACCGTTACTGAGTTATGGCTGTCACTTGAGCAGTGTCTCCGATGGAACAGGATATAAATTTCCCTGAGGCAAAAGAGAGTGCTTGGAAGCCAACAAAGTTTAGTGATCATCCTTTCATTTTTCTACACTCAAGTCCTTTGTCAGCTTCAGAACTGGGAAGTCGGCTATTAAATTAGAGATGAAATAACACCAGGCTCCAGATGTAGCTGCTGTACACTCCTGACTTCAGCCAGATGTGCCCCAACCATTACATTCATCATAATTAGAGCGAAGGTGTGTGGAAGCATCATCCACACACCCACAGGAATCCCGATTTTCTGCTCACTGACTCAGGGAGACGCCCCTCCCTAGCGGCGGGGAGTAATGGGGACGACTCTTCCAAAGTCCTGGAACAGGAAGTTTAAGTTTCATTTTTATGGATAATTGATCCCAACTCTACGTCCCAGTGATTTCCATCAGCTCATTTACAAAGATGTTTGCGTGAGTTATTAAGGAGTCTATGGTGGTCCTGCACCTCTTCCGCCACATCAAACAGAACCAATCTTTGCTGAATTGTTTCCTGTTTGGGGGTAAAGCCTTCCATGTTCCTTCCATCACTCTTCTCCGACTTTTGGTTGGTACAACTCTTGAACTAACACTGACTGGTGTGGGAACTGCTGAGGGCAGTCTCAATTAGTTTTTAGAGGATGTTGAGGGGTTAACTGGAGATGTGGAGGTGGTGGGGGTGTGCTGGGAATGCTGAACTGAAGTCCTCTTGAGCTTCTAGGCACTTAAGTACAGGTATCTTGGTATAGGCAAGGCTGGCCTCGAGGGTGATAGAAAGAGGTCACAGATTATCATAGTCCCAACAATTAGAATCTAGAAATCAAGTCTTTCATAGTTGGAGATGAGACCAGGGATACGTGAAGGGTGTAGAAGCTGCAGCTGAGACCTAGTATGTGTGTCCAGTCATTTCCTTCACAGCCTGTAGACGTCATAATTGACCAGCTTCTGTGTGAGCTGAACCACTTTGGGGGCATGATTGGGAATGAGGGAGCTACATCCTAGATGTCCGTTTAGGATCCTATGTATCAGGAATGATTTTACTTAGAGCCATAAACTATCTTCTGAGAGCTCTTTGCTCAAAGAGCAATTTTTTGTTGAATAAAATGGTAATAACTACCTGGACTGAATAGTCTTTTCTCACATTAACTAAAACAAAATGGACAAAGGCAACAAAAAAGGTCACATGCAAGCTCTAGGTGTTTTATGCTGACCAAGCATGATAGGTCACCTCTAAAAATTCCAGACAACAGGGTGCTTTTATTAGGGGCAAGGATATTAGGGTTATTTGAAAAAAAAATCTTTAGAATATTCTAACATCTCTAATTGGCATTTACTACTGACAAAAGCAACACATTATTCTCTGAAATGCTTTCTAATAATATTCTTCACCTTGACAGTGTGGAAGAAATTTCAGTTTCCTCTTGTATTCCAAAAGGCGGGGAGAGAGAGAGAGAGAGAGAGAGAGAGAGAGAGAGAGAGAGAGAGAGAGAGAGAGAGAGAGAGAGAGAGAGAGAGAGAGAGGGAGAGAGGGAGAGAGAGAGAGAGAGAAGCAGGCAATGAGAATCATGAACAATTTTAGTTCATTCGGAAGTTGGGAAGACTTATTTTTCAAATGAAGTCTTTTAAATCCAGATTCCTATAACAGATGCTCTCAACTCCCAAGTTCCTTCCATCTGTAATTCAATTTTCTTCTAAACGTGATGCTGACATCTGTTGCAATGCAGATATACACTCACTCAAGTACCTGCAATTTCTCTGTAAAGCTTAGTCTCATGTTAAAGAACTGTGAACCTTACTGGGCTGGGGAACAGACACAAGAATCCACAGGGCTGTAGGCAGAAAGAAATTTAATGTCTCTTTCATGGTTCTGATGCATCAGCATCTTTTCCTCCCTGACACCGAGGCTCTTGTTGAAGGTTTTCAGGAAAACATAAAGTATTTATTTAATAGTGCAATTAATTGTTTTAGCTTCACTTCTAGAGTCATCTCAACTCAGCACATGCTAAGGCCTAGCAGGGAGGCAGACACTGTGTCTCAGATTCTTCCTGACAGGGTGGATTAGATGAACACCACACACCTCTCTCAAGTATCTGAAAAACAAAAACAGAGCACTGCATGTTGCATTTAAAGATGCTGATCTTTGTCCTCTTTCTTTATCCCTTTCTCCCAACATTATCCATTTCTCCCAACATTTCTCTCCCAAAGCAAGACCAGCTGAGGCATGGATGGGGTCCAGTTGTCTCATCCCTAATTAATTCATTAGATACTTATTTGTCAAGTCTCTATTCTGTGACTGGTGGTGTGCCGATTGTGGGTGAAAGAAAGATTGATATGAGGTGGGCATTTTTCTTATGAAGACGTTCTTAGGAAATTTAGAATGTAGCTACTTAACACTTCTAAGTGCTTAAGGCATTTGTATTCTAATCACATTTTCAAGAAAATCTTTTTGTTATGCAGAATAAGAACCCAATCCCAGGCAACAAGTATTACTTACACCTGAGAGAATACAAAAAGAAATGATGCTGAATAGACTATGACGTTTTGGAAGAAGGATTAACAATACTAGTTCTATTCTGCAAGTCTTTGGGAATCTATACAGGAAATCTAAATGGTTAAAAAGGCTTGTAATTGTTGAGAAGGACCTAGGCAATGTTTTAAAATTCTAGGTTTAATTTAATATCGACTCTCTGGCTAGACTTGTGGTCTGGGTTTCTTTATGAGAGGAAGGCTGACATAGAAAGCAGGAAAGGTCAAGATCTTATTGGCATTAAATAGGGAACAGTTGGCTACTTTCCCTAGGAGCAAACTCATACTCCATTACACCACCACTTTGCTTATATTTGAAAACAAGAACTAGTCAGCACAGCTGGACAATTTAAAGCCACCACTGATGGCTGAGAGAGTCTAGCCTCTCACATGATTTAGTGCATACATGTTTATGCATGAGGTGACATGCTTCTAGTGGTGAATGCTGATCAGTGAAGGCATTGAGCAGCTACAAGTATCAGGGAAGTCTTTGTTTAAGCCGTAATACAAATGAACATTTATTGACCACTTATTATATCTTAGACACTGTGCTAAGTGCTTTATATGTTTTACTTGATCCTCACAACAATGTTATGAAGTAACCTCAAGGAATAAGCCCTTTTACAAATAAAAAGTAGAGACTCAGAGAGGTTAAGCAACTTAGCAAAGGCCACTAGCTAGCAAGATGCACCCATGGGAGCTGACCCCAAGCTCCATGCCATCAGGTTGCACTGGAGGTTCAGTGGGTCCTGGTCTTTCTCTGTATGGATTATCTGTCCTCAACTGTTTTTTTTTTTTTTTTTAGAAAAATAAACTAGATAATTTTAACGCTCTGGGGGTATTCACAATGTAGCGGCAGGAAGACACGCAGCAGGTTTTCTATAATCTGAGCAGACGTGTGTAGAGTCCTGGAGTCCTCGGTGGCTTTTCAGGCTTTTATTGATCTTTTACCTGGTACATAGCAACAGGGGTGCAGGTGGGGGGGGGCAGGAGGCAAATGGCAGGAGGGCAGAAAAGCCTGATAATTACTTATCCTACACGTAGGTTTTTAAGCAGTTCCCTGATCTGAGGAAAAGAGCCTAATCATTTTCTTTAATCCTATTCCTATATTTTCAGTCATTGCTGGAGAAAATCATAAAATCAGGGCAAATGATTTCACTCTAAAGACAACATAAGCTCAGAAATGGCTTCTTTAGCTGCCTAGCACGCTCTGTATCCATTCACCAGGGAGCCCAGCACAGCTGTTTTAAAGATTCCAGGGTCTTAAGCTCTAGTACCAACCCAACCCCTGTGGGATTAAAGACCTTGGCAGATGACCTTTGCTCTAATTCACTGAGAAAATGAGACCTACATGACAAGAGCTAGCCTTTCTTGCCTTGTTAAAATGCCCTTAAGTGTTCATTCCATTTCTTTACCTCTTATCTAGGAGGAAGGAACACTCTAATCTTTCTTTTTAAGGCTAATCCTACCTTTGTGTTCATCTACCTCCTTCTTGCTACTTCCAAGGTCTGCTTTTCCAGTAGCTTCTCTCCCCTCCACTTACCCTTCCCTGGAGGCATGAAGGCCTTGGCCTAGTGCACAGGAGCTAGGAGGGACTAGAACAGGCTGCCTGACCACATGCCCATTTACTAGGCACGACCACTAACCCAACTGCTTGACCTTGGGTAATTTAATTTCCCTAAGACTCAACTTCTTCATCTTTAAAATGGCGAGATCACATAATATGGTTGTGAGGATTCCTTGAGATGATCCATGTTGAGGTACATTTAGCCCTTGAGGTACACTTTTTTTTTTGCTGCCAGCTGTCTTCACTTCCTCCCACAACCAGCTTCTGCTCATGATTACCATTCTCTGTCAGTGACATCACTCCCTGCCCAGGATTCTTTGGTTTTAACCGACTATCTTCCGGAAGTGGCTGCTACATACTTTGGTAAATATTTGTGTTCCCCTCCCACTGAACCATCCTTGCTGTTCCATGTTTCCCATTTTTCCAGGAAATTCTCCCACTTTAGAGATTTTCATCTTCCATGGTCTATATTTTTAAAACTTTATTTTAAAAAAAAACATTTCCTTCTAAGTACTTATAATGCTTCCAATTTTCTTTAACAGTCAGAAACCTCAGTGATTCCAAAAGGTCCAGATGGAACAGCAGAGAGTCTCTATGTGACCTTGGGTAAGTTCTTTAACTTCTTGTGTCTCAGTTCCTCATCTCCCTGCAGGGTTGTTGAGAAGTTTAAAAAGAATTATTCTGAATAAAGTGCTTAGAAGAGTGCCTGTTATGACTGAGCACTCAGGTAAACATTACTCATTATAAGAATGGGCACTTGGGGGCTTCTCTCTTGTTATCAGTAGCTCAAGAAAATATATAGAAATACCTGGACCTTCACATCACAGATTGTAGCAAAGGGGGCTAGGTTATCATCAAGAGGCTTTGTTAATAAATAAGGAAATATGGAGCTATGCTAGGTTAGATTCAGAATTTAGGCAGGAACATTCCAGCAGCTTTGGTAATCCTGAAAATGTCTAGAATATTGCACAATTTGATTCAAAGTTCTCCTGCCATACAGACTTAATTGGTTCTTTTCTATCTAAGGACAGCAACCCACCCTTCCTAAAGGAAGTCGAAAGGATAAAAACATTAAAGTTGAAAGGGCTTGTTAGCAACCACTTCTGACTTCCTGCTGCCACAGGTCCGGAGAGAGCGTGCGTGATGCTCGTGGTCTGGCCTCATTCAGAAAACAGTATGGTTCTAGACAGCAGGGCCCCTCTCACCCAGAAGAGGAGAAGCGGGGGTTCACAGAGATAGGGTTGTCTGTTGACTCCTTTTCTGCCATTTCCTGTGTGGTTCCTGCGTCTTCCATCTAAGTTACTGACTCAGCTTAACCCTGCTTAGCTTGCAAGACCTTTCAGGGAAATCAGAGCACGAGATGCAGTCACTGCAAGTTGTCACACATGATTAAGGAGCCGGAGGGAGTGATTTATGTGGAAAGATTAAAATCCCTAAATATGGATGGCCCATGCTGCCCTGATTGAGTGGGGTCTTCAGGTATTTGAAAACTGCCCTGCAGGAAGGCTGGACTTTAGGAGGGGCAGGGATGGAAGGGGATGCAGGTGGCAAAAACCTGAGGATATTAAAATAGGATCTTACTTCCTGATGAAGTTGAAAAGATTAGACTCAGACAGGAAATTCTTCTTTCTGTGGCTTTTTTTTTTTGTCCAGGCTGCTGGTTATTTCTGGAATTTTCTACATGTAGAACTTGTAGCTCTGTGTCATCAGACAGACAGTCCTCAGTAGCTCTAACCCCCTTCCTCTGCAGTATCCCCATGGCTGGGGTTCCTTTTGCTTCTTCTCACTGTTTCTCCACCAGGCCCCTCCTTTGTGTCTCTCCAGCTTCTCTGTGACCCCCCATCTCCTCCACTCTTCCTCCACTTCCAGTCAAATAGCACTTTTTCAGTGCCCTGATTTTAAGTTACAACTGTGAAGCTAGAGTTAATTAGCGAAACGACTTCATATTGAACTATAAGTGAGATAATTAACTGAATCTCCCAGATAACACTGACCAAGCTCTTAGCCAGTGTTGGAATTTCAACACATTGTGTGTGTGTTTATTTCACTGTATAAAGAATGGTGGAAAGATAAGGAGGTTTTTCAGCAGCCTATACAGGACCACATTCATGCAAACTACAACTTGTTCCCAATGTGGCTAAGCAGGCATATGGGTCACTTACTAATTGGAAGATCCAGGAAGACTTTTTAATGCAGCCATGCTGATGTCAAAGACGGAAAGATGAGTCTGAGTTAGCAATGTAAGGGGAGGTGAGAGAGAAGAGGGATATTTCCTAAATTTCTGAGGAGTGCCCTGTTTACCCGTAGTCTACCCATGCCATGATTTGGACCACAGAGTTACTCTACCATTAATTGTAATAGACCAACTATAAGAATGCTAGTCTAGTCACATATATTCTCTTTTTCTAAAGAGCAAGTTAAAGATAGTCAACTGGTGCTTCTTCCCTGCTCCATTGACCTTACATGACTCACTAAATCTTCTGTGGTCTTCTTTTGACCCTTCCCCAGTGGGCCTTGAGCTTCCATTTTGCAACTCCCAGATCATACCATTCCCTTTTGGACCTCTGTCCCCTTCAACAGTTTTTCTCTGGTTCCTGGATTATCCCCCTCACTGTTTGAATTTGTCTGCCAAACTCTTGACTTCTTTGGTAAAAGACCTTAAAAATCACCTCCTCAAGGAAGACCTCCATGATTGAGCCTTCTTCTACAGTATTATAATGCCTTGTACTTTTCTCTATTTCTACTTGTATTAATATCATACTTACTTGATTATAAGTTGCCCCTTCTGGCCTGTGAGTATGTTCTGTTCTTCTTGGATGTTCAGTGCTCAGCATAGTTTTGGGCGTAAGGTAGATACTTAGTGAATGTTTGTTAAATGAATGAATGAATAAGTGGTGGGATATTTATGCATATTCCATAATTGTACTGTGAATGTATAAACACTCATGAATTAGCAATAAACTGGAACTCAAATAGTGAAACATTTTGGACTTTCCATTTTATTGAAAAATTAAAAAAATGTGCATACATTTAATCACTCAGCCCCAAGTAGTATAACTCTATTTTTATGGGTAAATTGCAGGTGTCTCTCTTTAAAAATAATTTCCTTAAATGTGAGAAGATTTATTTTTTGGCTCATATCTGTTAGGTTATTATAGTGTTTTTAAATATCTGGCTTAGATCACTTGAAATTCTTAAATTATACTTTAAGCAGCTATTAGCATAATGATATTATCTATTAATAGAGATTCCTACAGGAGTAAAGGTACCTGCAATTTACATGAAATCAGAAAACTTGGTGTGATTAGTAGCATCACAACAACCCAGCATGACTATTGTAATGAGTACATTTCCCGTCACTGTAATTATCTCCTGAAACTTTTATTGGGAACATTGATTGCTATTTGCTCACTCATTCAATTTGAGAAAATGGAATGATGAACAAATGCCAGAAGTGAAATAGTGGATGAACAGGTCCTGTGCAAAATATGTGCTGAATGATCACAAAACCAGCCATTTGTGTTGACTGGGAGAACTGTGTGACTTTTCTGGGTTTGAAATAAATGATAGATTCATTTAATTACCAAGAATTTCAGCAAAAAAGATGAAGGAGAGATGGATGATTTTCCAGGAGAGACTATGAAATGATGACCAGTATTTGAAGAACATTGGGCAGAATGTCTCACATCCCCTCCTCCTGCTCAGGGCATTGTTTACCTGCTTGAAGGAAGGAGGGATTTAACTTCTTAAATCTGTCCATCTCTTCATCCTCACCGCCAAGCTGCCATCACTTATTCTCTGGATCACTTCAACTCCCTCCTTATTGTTCGCCCCACTTCTACCTCTGCTTCTCTCCAATTCATTCCCTCTACTGCAAAGTATTCTTTCTAACCAGCAAATCTGATCACATCACCCTCCTGCTCAAAGTACTTCTCTCACTCCCCAAATCTTTATCTTAGTTTAGAAGGGCTACTGTTATGCAATCCACATTTAGCCATGCAGCCTTACAGCTGTCACACTGCAGCTTTACAACTCCTGTGGAATTCTTCATATACCCTAGCCACAAGGAAAGCTAAGGACTCCTGCTGGTCTCTCCTTCTTGATCATAGCCTCCATGCTTCTGCCTCTCCCCTCATCCCAAGCTAACTCCTAATCTTCCTTCAAGGCTGGAGTTTCCCTCTGCAGTCCAAGGGCATCCTTTACATACTCCTACTTTAGCACTTATCACACCGTTCTGAAATTGCCTCTTCACTTGTCTGCTCTGAGACTGCAAAGTCAATGAGTACAGACTGGGTCTGTCTGGTTTGTCTTGTTTCCTTAGCACTGAACATGGAGAGAGAGAGAGAGAGGACAGTCAGAAATGGCTTAGAGAAGGGGCCATTCTATTTTCTACTTTTTCTTGTGGCTGCTTTTAATTCAGGTTAAAGGCAAAGTGTTCATTAAGCCCCAGTAGCTATTTCTAAACATTGCTTTATACTCTCTCCATATCAGTGAGTTTTCTTTCTGGATTCAAAGGACAGAATGGAAAGTAAGGCTGTGGTTCTAATGGGATTGCTCCAAGTACAGAAAATGTAAATGTATATGGACATATGTGGTCTGTTTCTCCCAGATCCATGCAGAGGGGCTAGTAGCTGATAGAGCAGAACTGCAGCTTGTGTGTGTGTGTGTGTGTGTGTGTGTGTCTCGGTATATTGTATTGCCAAGCACGAAGATGGGTTGGCTTTGTTAGAAATTAATGCCTGTGATTTCTTCTAATAAAGCAGTTGCTGAGCTCTGCTTTCTTTGCTAAAGAATGACCTACGTGTTTCAAAATGGTATGTTTCAGAAAAAGAAAATTTGCTAAACCCTAGAAGGTTGCCCTAAGATGTCTGATCACACTGTAACCCAGATTTTATGACTAGAAAAGATTTTTTCTAGTCTCTCTGAATATGTCTGTATATGTGTGTAAACATGATTGGCATTGGACCAAAACAATTTAGAAGAATGTCACTTACATCAAGAAAATGAAATTGCAGGGCCTCCCCGGTGGCGCAGCGGTTGAGTGCTGGGTTGCGAAGCTGCCCGCAGCCTCTGCGGCGCCGGTTCGATCCCCGGCTGCTCCCCGGCCACCAGAGGAGGGTCCCACATGGCGCGCAGACCTCTCCTGCCGCCCGCTGCTCCCCTCAGCAGTGTACTTCGGTCCTTCTGCCTGCTCTGCTCCCCGCTCTGGCTCTAGTGAATTCTCTCACCCTCCTGTGCTTCTGACTGTACCCAGTGCATGTATAAAACGAAACAAACAAACAAATAAATAAATAAAACATGCCTCTATTAAAAAAAAAAAAAAAAAAAAAAAAAAAAAAGAAAATGAAATTGCAGAGCCTAATAAAAGGTTCCGGTAGGTTATACGAGATCTTGATTTTTCCCTTGCATTTATTAAAATTCTTTTGCATACCACATCTTTTTTTTTTTTTCCTTAAAAAAAAAAAAAGAAAACTTTTTCCAAAGTCCGCCCCCCCCCCAGCTGCCATTGAGATTTCGTTGGAGATTTGCTATACAAGCTCTTCTAGCTCCCTTCTTTCTGTCATGGACTAAAGATAATCGTGCGAATGTTCTCTGGCCACTGCTTA